CAGTTTTTTTTTTAATCTGTTGCCTTTCTTGTCTCTTTGCTTGGGATTTAGTCCCGACTTAGGTGGGTGGTGAGTGCAGTGACCCCATGCTTTTCTTTTTTTTTTTTTTTTTTTTTTTTTCCCCCGGTCTGCTGATGCTTTTCCTTTCAAAACCCTGTCTTCTGAAATTGTCCTCCACAGCCTTTCGTTGACAGTAGGCCGGAAGGCACTCCGCTGAAGAACATGGACTTCGCAAACATGTCGCGGCGTCGCCTGCAGCAGCTATGCAAAAAAGTTGGCATTAAGGCGAATGTGCCGAACAAGGAGATGATCGACGGCCTCACCAGCTATTATGGGGTACTACATCATCAAGACCCAAAACTCCCTCAGCCTATCTGTTTCCACAATCCAATGTGAAGAAGAGGAAGGAAAAACAAAGCGAATGAAGGAGATAAAAAATCCCATTCCTCCCCTCCCCCCCCTCCTCCTCCCCTCTTTTCAAGTCTGTTGGTGGTACTGTATAGGAAAAAAATGCCAAGGAGAAGGTAGAAAAGAGAGGCAGATGAGAAGATGACAAGTTGGTATGTGTCGCAAGGTGTTGCTATGTGTGACAAGTCGGTATGTGTGTGGCATAGGGCTTGTCATTGATAACACAAGGAAAAGAGTTCCAGTCTTGGGAGATCTTGGGGTACATGCCTGCGGGTGGGTACTCTTGGGGTAACTTTTTTTATTGCGCGATAGCTCCTTCGCCTTTTCCTCCTAGGCAAGCGGTTTTGTGCTGCTGTATGCTGGCTTTTCCTAGGCCAGAAGCCTTGTGATGGTGTGCGGGTGTGGGTTGAGAAGGGGGCTCCTTTGTGGGAATTCAGGCAGTTTACCGGTGAGCTCCGTTTCACCAACTCCGCGTGCGCGTCCCCAGTTAACCACTTGTGAGGCGAGGAGCGTTCAGACAGTCCATGTATACCGGCTCATCTTTCAGGGAAGGGATAGCTATCGTAACGTTATTGTAACCGTCTGATTCCGTCAGGATTCGAACTCGTTATCTTTTGCAGTACAGTTTTGTGTATGATGTATCATGGATGGGAATTCTCCTGTCCTCTTAGGTGAGCAGTGTTGTAATAACTACTTAGCTCCGTACTTGCAGGTCAAAGCAGGGCCCTCCGGCTGTTGTGGTAGGACAGCATATGTATTTTTTGGGAACTGGGATCAATTCAAATGTGTGGAAAGAGGGGGAAAGGAGGGGGAGGGCAAAGACAAACTTCAGGATGTGGTACCCGAGGAATGCGAACATGTTGTCTTGATGCACGGACCAAACAAAGCATGGAAACACAAAAAAGGAACTAGGGTGCCATGCATATAGCTGGTCACTGCATGTGTAGGCGAGTTGTGCAGATGGTTTTCTGGGCCCTTCCTTTCTAAACCACAAATCAGGCAGGGAGCATGTACGTGTGCATGTGTGTGCTTGCACACGTCGAGAGAGAGAGAGAGAGAG